GTCGAGAGAAGCTTTGGAGCGTGGAATTAGAGAGGTATAGTTACCTATCTTCTCTTAATTCATAATCTGCCCTAAAAAATCTAACCTAACCTCAATTAGCCTAACCTTAACTCTCCTTATATTTCAACTAAACTAAATTCAATTGACTTAAATGGTAAAACTGTCGATGGATCTGGAAGATTCTTGAGAGAAGCTTTGGAGCGTGGAATTAGAGAGGTATAGTTACCTATCTTCACTTAATTCATAATCTGACCTAAAAAGTCTAACCTAACCTCAATTAGCCTAACCTTAACTCTCCTTATACTTTAACTAAACTAAATTCAATTGACTTAAATGGTAAAACTGTCGATGGATCTGGAAGATTGTCGAGAGAAGCATTGGAGCGTGGAATTAGAGAGGTATAGTTACCTATCTTCACTTAATTCATAATCTGACCTACAAAGTCTAACCTAACCTCAATTAGCCTAACCTTAACTCTCCTTATACTTCAACTAAACTAAATTCAATTGACTTAAATGGTAAAACTGTCGATGGATCTGGAAGATTGTTGAGAGAAGCTTTGGAGCGTGGAATTAGAGAGGTATAGTTTTTATTTATACAAACCTAACCTAACACAATCCAAGATTAAAAAAAAATCTAACCTCAACTAAAAGTAACTTCAGCAAACCTTAATCCAATCTCAATTCACTTAATCCATAAACTAACCTAAAAAAAAGTCTAACCTAACCTCAACGAACTTAACCTAAACTTTCCTTATACTTCAATTAATCTAACCAAACTAATTTTCTGATAAACAAGATTAGTAAATTAAATATTAATATTATCAGGGACGAAACGGTCGTGGATCCATCTACGTCTGGGCTTCTGGTAACGGTGGTAGTCAAGGCGACAACTGTAATTGCGATGGTTACCTAGCAAGTCCTTACACCGTTTCCATAGGGAGCGCTTCGCAACGAGGAGAATTCCCTTGGTACGGAGAAGCCTGCGCCTCGACCTTAGCCGTGACCTATTCATCTGGAGCTTACCAAGATCAAATGATTGTCAGTATATTACAAAACAAAATATTCAAAACTTAATCAATATGTTTAGGCAACGACAGATTTACACAACGAATGCACCATCAAGCATACAGGAACTTCAGCTTCGGCTCCTCTTGCCGCTGGAATCATAGCTTTAGCTTTAGAAGTCAAGTGAGGCAATTAGTAATTATTGTGAGATTATGACCAATTATGAGATTTTAGCCCTAAATTGACGTGGAGGGATGTTCAACATTTGATTGTCTGGACTTCCGAGTTGGCTCCTGTCGCCGAAAATCCAGGTTGGCAACTTAACGGTGCTGGGTTATGGGTGAATACCAGATTCGGGTTTGGTTTGATGAACGCTTTGGGTTTCGTGAAAACCGCCGCGAATTGGACTAGAGTACCAGAGAGGTCTATATGCTCTGTACAATCTTTACCAATGTAATACAAATTATAGAAAAATAGGTAGAATTCAATGTAAATTTCATGTTTTTAACGTAGATTTAACAGCTCATTTTCTTACGGACATCCCATAACCATTCCCATAGAGACTACAGGTTGTGAAGGTACCAGAGACGAAGTGAACTTCTTGGAACACGTTGTAGTTAAGACTAATATAAATTACACTCTGCGAGGCGCTCTTGAGGTTCATTTAACTTCACCTGAAGGTATTTGTAGTGTGTAAGTTTGTAAAAGTTACAAGTTGTAATTTAATAATTTCAGGTACCAAAATCCAATTGCTTGGACCCAGGAAATTGGATAAATCTGCTGACGGTTTCAGGGATTGGAATTTCATGTCCGTGATGACCTGGGGCGAAGGATCTCGCGGTCTGTGGCTCCTTCAGATCTCCGACAATGTAAGCATCTCTAAACTCTATTGTTGTTTTTGTTGATCTTAAGTTGTTGTAATTGTTGTTGTTGTGTCTTCAGATCGGACCCGAAGGCAACCGCGGAAACGTCGGAGAAGTTTTGCTCCAATTGCATGGAAGCGCGAAGAGACCCGAACACATGAGCAACGGCCCAAGGGATTACGACGAGAACTACAACCGGGTGCACAGCCGGAAGCGCTTCCGGTACGAGACGGAACCCGAGGCGGGCGGGAAATTCGAAGCAGCGCGGGATTACTATTGGCCCAACTGAACCAATAATAGATCAAATTATCATTTATTTATTCCAAAAAAAAACTAATTTCTATTCGTAGCTCACGTCAAGTTATGAGATTATATAATAAGTAAATAAAATATATAATATTTAGAGAAAAATATTGAATGTCTCAATTTTTGAATCGATCATAATTAGGAAACCGGCGATGTAACGTAAGCTCTTTTGTTGTAACCATGGCAACGGGGGATTTCATTATGTCTGTGCGAGTGAAAATAATGATGCAACGCGTCATAGCATACGTTACTATGGCTACAGTAAATGGGGTTGTAAATCTATAGTTTATCTGCGAAATTCATTTGAAAACGCATCAAAATTTAAACTGATTGAGAATTTAGATTCAATTTCAGCCAAAAAACAGTATTGAACATACATTATCTAACCTAAAAGTAATCGTCCATTAAATTTTAAGTTTAATATTTAAGCCCAAAATCAACGTCCCTTGAACTGGAAGTTAACCTAACAACAACATAGATTATCTAACCTGAAAGTAATTATGTTTAAACGTGCACTGATTGTTAATTTTATGATATAAGCCCCAAATTAACGTGAAGGGATAACTTCTACTAAGATAACTTAACTTAAACTTACTTTAACATCTACAAGTAATCATACTTAACTCAATTACTAATAAAGTAATTTGACCTACCTTCATGTAAGTTCAATATCTATTATCTAACCTAAAAGTGTTTAATTATTAACATTATCAATAAAAAATAACCTTATCAAGGGTAATCTAACCTAAGAAAACGTAACCTCAATTAATCATCCATCTGTAAAATATCAAAAAAACCTCTATTTCCAAAAAAAAAAGTAACTAAAAATATAAACTAAGATTTTCATTAAATTAAGAAGAAACGAAATGAGGGGAATAAAAATATTATTTTTTTTGTAATTTTATTTTTTAATGTCTTCATAGAGTTTGTATATTTATTTACAATTAAAAACATCGATGGTGAGAAATAGAAAGAGATAAATTTGAGAGGAATTAAAATATTTGTTTACGTCGAAGCACAATCTCGTTAAAACTGGCAAAACTTAAACTTAAAAGTTAAGTACACATATATAAATAAAAACTAAAGAGATAGATTTGGTTATTACTTTGATTTTGTTCGTTTGTTTTGGAGGGGAGTTCATGCAGATGTAGACTAGAATTGACATTTGTTTTTTGTTATTTGCACACACAAACACGCTCACGATTTGAGTATAGAGAAATCAAGAGACCTGGATATTCATGGAGTGTTTGATTTTAGGAGGAAGAAGAAACAATTGACGGAAGGAAGAAACGAAACAAATAGGTTAAAAAAAAGGAAACTGATTTTGCGGCAGATCTAAGTGATGCTGCACGAGGCGCAACTCCTCTTCCTCCCCTTCAGCCGTTCCTCGTTTTCCTGATCCAATTTCCTTCGTAACGCATCTGCGACATAGCGAGAGAAGAGGATTACCAATAAAAAAAAAAATCATCATCATCATCATTCAAATTATAAGCTTTGAGGTGGCGTGTATTAAAAAAAGGAAGAAAATCAAGTTCACCTGCGATGTTCCTTTTCCCTATAGCTATTAAGCTTTCGTACAACTCCTTAATTGGATTAACGTCAGAGGCGAGGCCGTGCGCCCAGATTAGTGTCATCCTGAAACCGTGCTCCTTGAAACTCGACGGACCTACAAGACACAAGACAGAAATGAACAAATCAAAGAAGACAGAAAAAAAGAAAACTGTTTAGAACATAGTGCTCACTTCACTTATAATTAGCAAACAAACTGTTTACTTATGTGCTTAAGATAATTAAGTTATTTGTATAGTTGTTTCATATAAATTTGGTTTTTCATCCATTGTGAAATGATAAATTTTGTAATTTTTAAAATTTTTGGCGACCAACGTGGGGCACCATTTAGTCAACATTTTGAGTAATCTCTTTAAACTTTTCCACCAATTCCAATGCGTTTATCAAAACTCAATCATACTAATTAAATGTTAATTAACTAACAGTTTTCTTCCTGTTCTTTGTGTTGAAAAAACAAGAAATTTTTTGAATGAACTGTTAAAAATTGCGATTTGTTTGAATGAGAGAGAATATCAAGGAAGCTAATCTGCATGCGACGTTTCAATTTGCTGCGGATGACTCGTATCCGAATAAGCTCGTACCCAACAATCAATCCACGACCGCAACGAGAGCGGGAATCGAGGATGCGCTCAATCAATCCGATAAAGTTCGAAGGTGAAAGCAAAACATCTTAATCTTCATTAATTACCTGTGTATTGATGTTCTATGGCTCTGATCTGCTCCTCGGTGAAGGCCCAATGCTGAGCCAGACGTTTCCACTCTCCAGGACTCAACTGCTTATAAGACAGTTTGTAGAGGACGTCGCGAAGCCTTTCATTCTCCTTGTAACGATTCTCCTCCTTCGACGACGATCTCCACTTCCGTCGTGCCGTGTTCAAGACTGGTTTAAGACCGCTGGTGTTTCGTTTGCCGTTTTTACCGTTGTTCATGGGTTCATCCTATACAAATCAAGAATTTTGAAGTTATCGTTAAATGACAGCTTGTGTCAAAAGTGAGAAACTGGTAATAAACTCTTAGCAATTTGATCAATCATTGAGAAGTAACGCTTCTATAAACACTATACAATATACCAGTGTTTCTCAACATATTTGTTTACTACTGCGATCTAATTGTTTATAATTTTTGTTTTAACATTTTGTGACATAATGTGACAGCTGTCATGTTATATTTGTGTTGTTACGGTAACAGATAATGATTTCGATAACCGTTGTTCATCGGTTCAACCTGTACAAATCAAGAATTTTTAAGTTATCGTGAAATGACAGCTGTCACCTTGTGTTAAAAGCGAGAAACTGATGATATACTTTCAGCAATTTTATCAATGGTTGAGAAGCAACGCTAATATAAACACTATACAATATACCAGTGTTTCTCAACATATTTGTTTACTACTGCGATCTAATTGTTTATAATTTTTTTTGACGTTTTGTGACAGCTGTCATGTTATATATGTGCTGTTACAGTAACAGATAATGATTTCGATAACCGTTGTTCATCGGTTCAACCTGTACTAATCAAGAATTTTGAAGTTATCGTAAAATGACAGCTGTCACCTTGTGTTAAAAGCGAGAAACTGATGATATACTTTCAGCAATTTGATCAATGGTTGAGAAGCAACGCTACTATAAACACTATACAATATACCAGTGTTTCTCAACATATTTGTTTACTACTGCGATCTAATTGTTTATAATTTTTTTTGACGTTTTGTGATATAATGTGACAGCTGTCATGTTATATTTGTGCTGTTACAGGAACAGATAATGATTGCGATATTAATTACTTGCTGAGGATAATCCAGTCGTGCGGTCTTGATGATCATATCCACGATGGCTGTGAAGCTGCCGCGGGCCGCGATGTAGAGGGGTGTTCTTCCCCCTTGTTCCCTCTGCTCGATGTTCGCCCCTAATATCGTCGAAGCAAGGAACAGACACAGAATACACATTTCGTTTAATCGTTTAATCCTGTGACTGCGGTTAACCGAAACGGCTCTCGCTTCGCCTGCGATTCGATTCGATGACCGCAGGAAGTGGAGATAACGCAGAATCCTGCTCGTTATCCTGCAGGTTGTTGCAGTTAATTATGCCGGGTTTTGGGAGCGAATATCAATTGTGGCGTTATCTAGTGATTGATGGTGAAGTGGAGGAAAGGATGGATGAAATATTGTCAAAGAATTCATGAGGGTAGAAGGAATTATTGATGAATTGTTGCAAAAATATGAGAAAAGTATAGTGAACGGTAATAGATATAGAAATTAGTATTGAAATTAATTGAAAAAGGATGCAAGAAAATGGAAAATTGTGTAGTAGTGTAGAGAATGGCAAAAGTATAGAAAATAATATAAGAAATGTATAAAAAGTTCATGGAAAAGAGTTTGGAAAATGCGTAAAAATTGAATGAAAAAGTATGATAAGTAGAGGAAAAACATTATGAAAATGATTATGGGAACAAGGTAAGAAAATTATTGAAGAAAGAGGAAATCTATTCAAGATTGAAGCATCTAAAAGAAGCTTGATGGAAAACTGTATAGGAAAAGCAGAGAAAATGTAGGAAAATGAATAAGAAAGTATAGGAAATAAGATAGCAAAAGTATTGAAATACAATTGAAGAAAACTATAGAAGATTGAAATATGTCCTCACCAGCAGCTAGAAGAAGTTTGCAGATATCGGTGTGTCCCATTTCTGCAGCGATGTGCATCGGCGATTGCAGCCGCTACAATAAAAAAGAATTGATATGAAAATTTTATTAGATTCGTCCTGAACACACGTTCTCTCACCTCGTTTAAGCAATTCAAATCAGCCCCTTTCGATATCAAGATCTCCACAGTATCCACAACGTTCGACTGACAGGCCAAATGCAATGGCGTACTTCCAATCTACAAAATAACAATACAAAATGGAAAAAATTAAAAAAGTGTCATAAAAGAAACGTTACGATTTTGATTCATCACAATTTTTTAATAATCAATATTTTGTTAATAATATAAGTACCAATAGTTAATATAAACTTACAAATAACTAATTTTACTAGAAATAAGCAATGTTTGAAATTCAGTTTTATAGAAAATTGGTCTCAAATTTCAGTTGGGCAAAAAAATGATAATATTAAAATGTCATAAAAGAAACGTTATCATTTTGATTTGTCGTAATTTTTTAATAATCAATATATTCTTCATAAAATAAGTACTAATAGTTAATATAATATTACAGATAATTAATTTACTATAAATAATTCAGTTTTATTGAAAATTAATCTCAAATTTCAGCTGAAAAAAAAATTGAAAAAACAACAAAAAATGGTAATGCTTCTTTTATGACAATTTAAAAAACACTTACAAATAACTAATTTTACTAGAAATAAGCAGTTTCATAGAAAATTTGTCTGAAATTTCAGTTGGGGGAAAAGATGATAATATTAAACTGTCATAAAAGAAACGTTATCATTTTGATTTGTCGCAATTTTTTAATAATGAATATATTCTTCATAATATAAGTGCTAATAGTTAATATAATCTTACAAATAACTAATTTACTATAAATAATTCAGTTTCACTGAAAATTAATCTCAAATTTCAGCTGAAAAAGAAATTGACAAGATGACAATGGTAATGTTTCTTTTATGACAATTTTAAAAAACGAAAGAATCACCGGATTTACTTCAAACAGATTGAAATTAAATAGAAAAATAAAACTTCTGAAAGACTCTTAACAACCTCTCATAACAAAGAAAACTTCCATTCAATCGATGGAGCTTCAAAAGCTTTTTTTTCTATCTTCTCCTCGTCCTCATCAATTCCAGTAGAAAGTGCGCAATTCTCGTGCAAAGTGCGCTAACGAAGTACCGGCGCGTCCATCCGAATCCTTTCACCTCATTATGTTTATCGTTATAATTTCACCAAAACCCAATTCGCAGAATGTATTTACCTCGTGACATTCGCATCGCAAATTGCCATTTAAAACCGGGAATTTAATTGCAAATTAATAAAACAAAGGTTTTCCATATCGACGATTCCGAAATTCCAATAATTCATGAAAATTTGAGAAAAATAATTGAATCGATTCAAAACGCAATCAAATTCCTTTTGTTTTGTTTACAAAATCACGTTTCCAAGGCAACTAAATTACATTTATCGCATTTCAAAGGCTACTCGATTTGCTTTCGAAACGCTTTTCCACATTGTGTTAAGTTTTTTTAACATTTCTTCAGCTTTTACCTTGTTTTGTTTATTCAGCGAAGCTCCGTGATGTAAGAGAAGGTCCAGGATACCAATGCTACCAAGGTTACAAGCTATGTGCATCGGAGTCGAACCTTTCTATGATTTGAAAAGAAAAAATAGTTACAAATTATTAATTTTTTATCAAATCGAAGAAAACACTTACAGAATTCTCAGCGTCCGGATCCGCTCCGCACTCCAACAAAATCTGCACTAATTTAGTCTGCTGGTTCTGCGCGGCTATGTGTAACGGATTGTTACCGGAAGTATCTGCAGCTTCCATGTCCGCTTCGTGTGCTAAGAGGTATTCGGAGACGGCGACGTGACCCTTCTCGCAGGCCACGTGCAAAGGCATCCTGCTTTCCTGCAACGACAACAAAATAAAAACAATACGAAACAGATAAAGTAAATGTAGTCAGCAAAAAGGGATAAATCTTCGGATGCATTAAGTGAGAGAGCGCGCGCTAAACAACCGGAAGCGTTGTTTCGGCTTCGAAAATAGGAAATAATGCATTTCGCGTGGAAGAGTCTTGAATATTCAGCGAGGCTCAAATGAATTATTTAAAAAGCCCGCCAGTTTTTTTTTTGTATTTACTTCCACCTTCTCCATCAAGAACGTTCTCTCTTTGTTTTAGTCAACTTCGAGACGTTCATTGTTTACACTTTGTAATTTCCCAAGCAACTACAACCTAAAACATTACCTTGAGGAACTCCAGATACTATTAGTAAACAATTTCCTTTTTGAAAAACGTATCCTTGAGGAACTCTATATAGAATTTTGTTTTTTTTCATATTTGTTTATATAAATTACATAAAAATTGCAACAATATTGTAACTATTAAAAAAAAATAGATTTATTCATATAAGACCTAAAACATAACCTTGAGGAACTCCAGATACTATTAGTAAACAATTT